TTAGTATTTAGTATTTTCAAGTATTTTTGTATCCATGATGCATGTGTTAATTTAGCATGTTAGTGGGTAGTAAATTGTCTTAGTGGGAGTTAAGGTTATGTAAAATAAAGAATCATGAGAGTTAAGCCTAACAAATACTATGTTAGTGGGAGTTATGCATATTGAAGATTATGTTAGTAGGAGATAGGAGAGTTATGGACATTTAAATGTAATGGTTACACATACATATGTGAGGCCTATATATTCATGTACTATAGTCAAATAATAGATTAAGTGAAATAAAAAAGTATTTTCCTCCATTTCTATTCTCTTCCAAATAGTATAGTGTTGTGTGTGTAACTAGGCCACTATTTCCAACAAATTGGTATCAGAGCCAGATTTCATGTTCAAAGCCAGATTTCATGTTCAGAGCCTAGACGATCCTGAAGGCCAGACGAAGTTGATCCTAGAAGGTTCAACATTTGAGAAAAACATGTTTCTCCTTGATGATGATGAAGGGGAGAAAATGTATTTTCTTAGTGAAAAGATGATGTTCTCTAATTACAAGAGAATGAGAATCATCATGACTTCATACCTCAAAGCATGCGATTTGTGGGATGTTGTTGGAGAAGAGCCAAAGAATGGCATGTCTAACAAGCTTCATGAAAAGAAAGAAGATAAGGCATTGGTAGTGTTGCAAAAGGCAATACATCAAGAAGTTTGGGAGTATTTTGGAGAGTCCAAAACTCCAAGTTGTATTTGGAAGATGCTCGAGATCATCGTTTCCAATCATAGAGGTGAATCACTACCCATGGAGTATTGGGTACAATGCTTTAAGAATGATGAGTTTACGAAAGATGATTATGAAAGTCTTGAAAACAAAGTTGTGGAGAATGAAGAGGTGTATCGTGCAAAAGAAGTTGAAGATTTTGGAGATTCAAAAGTTGAAGGAGAATTTGAAATGGTGAATAAGGAAGAGGTAAGAAAAGGTGTTAAAGAAGAGATTGAAAAAGTGAAGGAGGATGAAGTGAAAATAGAAGATTTAGAAGAAGGAAGTGCTAAAAAAGAGGCAAAAGTTCAAGTTGGTGAATTAACATCTTCAGGTATGGTTACAAATTCCACCTTGAAAGAAGTTATATTTGACTTATTTGATGAAATTATTATTTCTTCATATTCATCAAATAATGCTTATTTTGTGGAGAATTATGAACTTCTCTTAAAGAAAGTTGTTCCAAAGAAGTATGAGATTGAAGACCAGGATGATCAGACTCATATTATTTTTTTAAAAATAGTTTAGAGAATTTTGTAATTGATACAGGTTGGGTGAATATGGAATTATTTTTTGGCTCTAAAGAAGAAGTATATGTGAAGTTGAAGATCCATAAAAAATTTAAGAAGAAAAAAGATCGATGGTGTGCTTGTATAAAGAGGATGATATATGATTATGTGAAGACATCAAACAAGCATTTGAAGAAGTTTCACAAGCCCTACACATCAATGGAAATGGCCAAGAAGATTGAAGCTATTGAAGGAGGAGGAATTGAAGATCAACTATCGAACTTTGATCAAGCCCCCAAGATTAATAAGAAGGTTTTTTTCAAGTTACAAAATCAAGTTTAAAGGGGGGTGTTGAAAATAAACTTGATTTTAGTATTTAGTAATTTCAAGTATTTTTGTATCCATGATGCATGTGTTAATTTAGCATGTTAGTGGGTAGTAAATTGTCTTAGTGGGAGTTAAGGTTATGTAAAATAAAGAGTCATGAGAGTTCATGAGAGTTAAGCCTAACAAATACTATGTTAGTGGGAGTTATGCATATTGAAGATTATGTTAGTAGGAGATAGGAGAGTTATGGACATTTAAATGTAATGGTTACACATACATATGTGAGGCCTATATATTCATGTACTCTAGTCAAATAATAGATTAAGTGAAATAAAAAAGTATTTTCCTCCATTTCTATTCTCTTCCAAATAGTATAGTGTTGTGTGTGTAACTAGGCCACTATTTCCAACAGTTCTTACCTCTTTTGTGTATTATTGGTGCTCTGTCTTTACTTTACCAAAGGCTGTGATCAAGTATATGGAGAAAAAAATGAGGGATTTCTTGTGGGGATCCAGTTCTGAGCATAGGAAGCTACATGCTTTGCGGTGGAATGGAGTTACAAGACCTAAGAATGAGGCTGGTTTCGGGGTGCGACGGATAGAGGACATTAATATGGCAGCCACATGTGTATCTGTTTGGAACTTTCTTCAATCCAAATACTGTCTTTGGGTGGCTTGGTTCAAATGGAAATATACCCGGGTAGTGTCATATTGGAACTATTATGTCAAGTCCATTGACTCTATGCTGTGGAGGAGGATGTTGGAAGTTAAGGAGTTTATGCTTGCAAATGTTGATTTTCAGATTGGTGATGGCAGTTCTATATTCCTCTTTACTGATCCTTGGTTACAAGGAGATTGTATGTTGAATAGGTTAGGGGACAGAGTGTATAAAGATTTTGGCCTCCCTAAACAATCATCTTTATCTTCATTAATCCATGATGGACAGTGGCAGCTTCCTGTTAGGAATTTCAGAGCAGTGCAACAGTTTAGAAATTTTGCCTTGTCCTTGTCAATTACGCAGGACAGTGACCAGTTTGTGTGGAGAAATGATAAGTTTTCGCTCAAAGCTGTGTGGGATAGATAGAGGACTCATTATCCAACTGTGGACTGGGTTACAGTTTGTTGGTGTGGTTCAAGACCTAGGGCTTCTTTGGTCTGTGCTCTAGCAGTCCAAAATAAATTACTATGCTTCGTAAATCTGAAAAGGAGGGGTTTACCTCTAGTGGCCATTTGTCATAATTGTATGCGGGCTGAGGATAACTTGGACCATGTGTTTGTTACTTGTAACTTTGCTAAAGCAGTTTGGTTTTGGTTGTCATCCTTATTTAACTGGAGCATGCCTCAGTTTGAGACTTTGAATCAACTTGTTGCATGGTTTGTGCACCAAAAGATCTCGCATAAAGTTCAGAAGAGGATTTGTGCTACAACTATATGGTTTTTTTGGGATGAGAGGAATAACAAACTTCATCAAGGACAACATAGAGATGCTGTACACATTGGTCAAGCTATTTGTGGAGAAGCTCTAATTCTATTAGATATGGATATAGGGGGACTTGGTTCCTCCTCTTTGCATGGCTAGTTTAAGTTTAGTCATGTCTTAATTTTGCTGTGGTTGCAGCTTGTTCCATGACCAAGGCGATGCCCTTGTTGGTTTTCTGTACTATTTTTGTTATATTTATAAATTTTTCCATCTTTACCCAGGTAAAAAAAAAAGGAAGAAGATATCATCAAAATAACATTTATCATATTCTCCTCTTGTATGACCTTTTCTTCTCCTCATCACATGCTACACTTATACTTCAAAACAACAATTGAAGAGTTTATTAACAACACATTTGCCTTTGGACCAATAAGATAGTAAATTAGGTAATGTGAATGTTTTAAAGATATTACCACCCTATATTGATTATGTATAAACATATTTATTGTCAATATATTATGCTAATCAATTGGCCAGTGCAACCCAAAATCGGGTTGGGTTGGGCTAACCCGAGGTCAACCCAGAACTAGGCATAGCTTGAACCCGAACATTTGGACGGGTAAAGCGTGTTTCACATATCATTTTTTTTAAAAACACAAATATGCATATTATACTTTCCTAGTTTAAAAACATCAAAATTTTTAAGGAAATTTTATTTTTTGATTTATTAAAACTTTTCCCTATTTCTTTGGCAATGCAAAGGTAGAACATCTACAACCGCAGCAGGGCCAAATTGTTATTTTTGGCTCTCTGTTTGGGTTGGGTGATGACATTGGGGGTTTTAGTTTGGGCTTTCAACTTTGTCTTGGGCTTCTAGCTCTATTCTCCTAAGCTTATTTGGGATTGTTTTTGTGGCCCAAGGCCTTTTACTTATAATCTCTTACCTTATATATAAAGTTTCCTTCAATTTTTGAAAAAAAAAAAAAAAGAAAGTAAAACAACCACATATTACTCCTTTTTTTTTTTTTCCCGGTCATTGACAAGAAATTCACACATCCACTTTGCTCCTTTGGAGACTCAAACCCTCACCATCCATTTTGAAAGGTAGATGAGATACTATTGGGCCACAAAACCCTTGGTCACTTAATCAAGCATACCATTTTCTTTCTATTACAATTAAAATTTTATAAAGGCACAGTAAGGAATACAAAAAAACATATTGAAACACTTTTAATGGATAATTTGACACTTCAACAGGTGTTTCAGTTACTGTAACTTCAACAGGTTCTTCTCCAGTGCTGACAAAATTTTAACCAAAAATCATAAAGAACAATAAATAAATAAATATATAAATGAGCTAGTACTAATAAATTTTCAATTTTAATATAAATTTTGACTGTGCGTGTAAGAACCAATTTTTTTTTTTTTTTTTTTTTTTTTCCTTTCCGCATATTTTGCCAACTTACAAAACCTAATATAGCGCACCTAAGCTAGCATGATCTCCACTTAACAACCAGACATCCCCACTTGAGGAAGCATAATCCCAAAGAAGGGGACGAGTGTGAAGACATAAGCTTGATAGCAAAACGTAGCACACCTAAGCTAGCAGCTAGTGGGTGTTTTCATTCTATTGAAAATTATGCAACTCATAGTAGAAGGAGAGATGCTATTCCAACGCCAAATAATTTAATTGTTTTAAGCCAAACAAACATTGGACCTGTTTCCATGATACAGCATCAACAATTTGTAGATATTAATATGCAAGGATGATGAGTCCATGAATAATGGCGGATCCAGGGCAGGGTAGGGTAGGGTTGAGTTCCCGCCCACCAAATTTTTTTTATATTTTTATTGCTATTGGTAAATTTACCCCAATTAAAAAGTAAAAATTTACTATTAGTAGTTCACCGAACAAGCCCAAGTTAATTAAGCCACAATACTAAAATCAAGGCCCAATCCAAACCGCCCAAGCCTAACAAACCCTAATACATGAACTAGTGCCATCTCCTAGCCCTAATATCATTCGCGAATTGCAATTCGCAGACGACTCGGTCCTCTGTCCTCATCTCCACAACTCCACCAGAACCACCGGTCACCACTGGCCTCCCCTGGCCTCTGCGTGCCGAGTAGCTGCCGAGATCCGCCCTTGGTACGAGTTGAAGCCTCGATTTCAAAGGCCTTCATTGATTTCTAAGGTCTTCAGTGCATCATTAAGGTTAGTGAACTCAAAACTGAATTGATTTCTAATTCTGACAGACTTGGTAGTTGGTAAATTTAGGTTTTTGATCAGTCATTACGATTTACCAGTTTGGGAAATTGGGAATGGAACGAAGCCCTTCAAATTTCCGAGTCGCCGCCGTTCACGATTCTATGTTTGATGTGATTTTTTTTTTTTTAAAGTCAAATGTATACTAAAGCAACTAAACTGATCTATCAAGAGTCTGCAGAGATTCAATCTGAAACAATTTTTATCAACATGCCAAGCTTTTTGAAGATGGAAATCTTTTCAAAACAAAAAAAAAATCATAACAAGAACTTTGACAAGCAAAAGCACTTAATATAGGGTAAATCTCTAAAGTTACTTCTTGAAAATTAAAATACTTACAAAAAACATGCTTTTGAGTGAATTCCATAGTGTTGGAAGGGGCTTGCCAAGAACTACTTCACACTCTGCTTCCACTAGTAGATTCTCAAATAGGATTAGTAAATTGGTCAAAAGAGGAGAGAGGGTACTGAGTGGTGAATTGTTCAGAAATAAATTGTTAATTTTTTTATTAATTACCCAAATAGGATTTTCTATGCCTTAATCAGTCAATTGTCTAAAGAAACATTATTAATTAACTAAAATTGAATTAAACAACAGTTGATTTTGGTTGATATATTTTGATTTAGCCCACCCCATTGAGAAATCCTGGTTCCGCCCTTTTTTCAGACCTAGCTAAAGCGCACAGAGAGTCTCTTCTGCAACCTTCAGAACCCTCAGGTAGAGTCTCTTGCATCTCCGGCGAAGGAGGAGGAAGGCAATTAAAGATGGATGATGTGGGAGTATCATTGTATTTGGTTGCTAGTTTTGGTGGTGGGCCATATTGTGCTGCAATTTATGAAATCAAATTTGTTGTAGTAGGAGGAGAAATTGGTTCTAAAATTGCAAGAGTTTGTCCTCTGCAGAAAGCGTTTCGTTGCTTAGATGAAGAAAGAATATATTCACCGGTTGGTTGTGATTACACAGGATTGAAAATGGTCTTGATGGCTTCATATTGGGATCTGCATGACAAGTTTTTCCAGTTTAAACCCATTTGTTTCAATACAATTACCAAAAAGGGTTTTGAATTGCCGTTGCCAGAAGCAGAAAAACCTTATCCCCTAGTGATGGTTGACCCTGATTATGGTTTTTTTGTGCTTGCTGGGGCTACTTTGTATTCATCCTACAAAATACGCTCTCCATGTTTCGAACGTTTAGATCCTTTGGATGGATGGCATGATTCGGATTATAATGATTGTTCCCTACCTGAGTATCCTTTGGACAAAAAATTACCCAGAATTATCTCTGGTTACGCAGTCATCCAGTACTGTATTCTCATTTCAGTCCATGATTTTCTTCATGGTAATTCAGAATTCTATTATTACAGAATCGGGAGTGAAATGAAGAACTGGCAGGTCATCAAGAAGGAAAAGGAGAATGGGTTATATTACCCGATCTTTGGAAAGGCTGAATATGTTGATGGTTATTTATACACTTTCTGCTGTAATTATAACTTGATTGCATATCAAGTCGTTGAGAATGATGGTATCATTCAATCTATTGGTGTTCCAGTGTATTTTAGAGGACTGGACTTTAAAGATCTACCAGTGGATTGTGATCCTGCATTCTCTGGTTGCTTTGTTCATTTGGGAAACAAAAGATTTTGTATGATGAAGACTGGTATCAATGTTGACCCCTCCAACTTTCAATATGTTTCCATCTTGATCGTCCAAGTTTCTGATGACATGCACCTTTCAACGACGTGGTCAGGTCTCTGCGCCTTGAATATAGAGAACCTCGCCCCCGCAAATTTAACATCACTTTTTTTGGACTCCCAGTAAGTATTTGCATTTCTATTTGTATTCTTGTTGTTGTAATTGTATACCCTTTCCTTATTTTCATGGCTTTTGCTTCTCTACTCCTTAAAAGTTACCATTTGCGTTTGAATATTTTAGTTACTCTTTTTTATTAGACAATTTTGTCCATTTAATTTTTTTTTTTTTTTGATAAGTAAAAATATATTAGAAAAACGTTCAAAAGGGGAACACATCCCTAATATTGTCCATTTAATTTTTTATAACGACAATTACACCCATTTCTTAATAAAGTTGCTATTATCAAATATGGTATTGTCATATTAAAGGATATTTTTGTAAATTCAGCAATAGAAGTGTTTCAAAAAAATTGTTACCAAATAATTTAAAAAATAATATAATTGTGATAAGTACTTATTATATTGGAAGGGTGTGTTTGATTGTTGATTATATCTGTGTATTGAGAGTTTTTGTTTGTTGCAATTACCAGCCTTGACAAAAATTAGTAAGTTGTATGCTTTGTTGAGATGATCCTAAATTTATATTATCCAAGTATGAAGGGAAATGTCCTGCATTCAGTTTGTGTTTTATTGTAATGCAAAATAAGAAACAGGGAAAGTGATAATGTTATATATATCTTTACACACACACACTCATATATATATGGTTGTCGGGGGGTATAATTATGAAATGAAAACACGAATAAAGTTCAAGAATTACTAAAAGATATGCAACCACAAACCCGTGATACCTTTTCTCCCATGAATCCTTATTAAGCTGTGTTATTCCAATAATATTTTTCATTCAAAGAAATTTAATTTTATTAGCAAATGGTGAAATATTGCTGCTGTGATATTGTGGCCTGAATTTTGTTTCGGCCTGGGTTGCATTGCGACTCTGTTTAGACCTGAACAGTGAGTTGTGTGGGACTAAAAAAATTGTGACCCGTTTTTTGCTTGCGGGTCGTGGACCCTATTTAGTACTCTCTTGTAGCTTGGTATATAAGGGCGTATAGTGTTTGGAGTTAGGGATGGCAACGGGGTGGGTTCGGTATGGGTTTGAGTTCGCCCTACCTCACCCTTTTAAGAAATCCTTTATACCATATCCGTTAAGATCCAAGGACGGGTTGTTGGTAAGAATACCATCCCCGCCCTTCTCTGTTTAAAGGCCCAAAATTTTCAAAACCAGATTATGCATTTAGCAATCCACCATCAATGCAATGACAAACATCAAATCGATTTGCTAATCACAAAACGCACAAGATCTATGCCTTTTAGTCACCAAAACTGGAATATTTCTTATTAAAAAAGCTTAGAGAAAAGTTCAATATGAAGATTTTCGTTTATGGAAATATAAAGAATTATATATATATGTTGAAGCGAAATTCTGCACGACCCGGATTAGCACTGCTTCCTGCAAAAGAAAAGGGATGGTGACCGAGGCCTGGCACCAGCAGGTGCCGGCCTGGCGATCAAGTCAGTTTTGGGAGTTTGTATGTAAAAGAAAATAAATTCTATATTTAATTTCTTGTACCTTTCAAGTGGATTGATTACCTTCTTATAGGAGAAGGTAACCATTGTGGCGCATTATAATGCCGAGCGATAACTTTTGGAGATTTGAGTGAGATCTTTTGGGAGAGGATTACATGATCCCTATCTAATTTGAATTTGAATTTGAATTGCATGCTCATTTAAACAGTTTGTTATCTTGTGTTTGTTATATTTATCCTTATCAATATATATATACATATATATATATAATCATAGAGAGAACTAGAAAAAAAATGCAGAGAGAGAGAAGAAGGAATTTGAATACAAACCTAAGTTGCGAAAATTATGAATCAATTACTTGTGTTATTAGGAGCTTCAATGGTGATTTTAGAGAAAGAAAGAGGGAAACACCAAACACGTTCTCTCTAGGGCTCTATTGCGTTTGGCGCAGCTGGTGGTCTAAGGAGAAATCAACTAAAGACAAAAGACAAAACCTTGACATACTGGAGTGCTATAATAAAAATTGGTAAATATGTATTTATAAATCTAAACCCGCCCCGTCCGGGGTTTAAAAACAAAATACCATCCTCACCCCTTCTCCTAAACGAGGCTTACTGAAATCTGTCCTATTAGGGGAGGGGCGGGGCAGGGCAGAAACCCCCCGGGCCGGAGGAAATTGCCACCCCTATTTGGAGTGGGTTAGGGTGAGACACTGAAAGTCTTAGGAAAGAGAGTGAGTGAGAGTTTGGGGGTTGAATCTTGTAATTTTCTGATTTTCCCATAGTGAAATCTTTCGAGGCATAATTTGTGCCAAACCACATAAATCCTTATGTTTTTTGTGAGTGGTGTGCTTACTTTTCTATCGTGATTCGTGATTTGTTCTTGGTTCGTCGTGTTTGTCGTAACAATTGCTGTTTGTCTGGTGTGTTCTCATTTATGCATCATACTTATTGCTTCTGGAACACTAATGAGCATGACATTTTTATTTGAGGCATATGGATCTATATAATTGAGTAATATGTATACAATTTATGCCTGTTCTACGGTTGTGAGCCATTAAGTAATAAAATCTCTTAGATGCACTTCGCTTTTCCTACATTTTGTTTCTTAGTATTTTGTAAGATGGACTGCCATTATATTAAGTTGAGGCACAAAGATTTCTATCTTTTTGGTTTTTTTTTTTTTTTGACTGAAGGTCTTTTGTTTTGCAGGCAGAGTAGATATGCCTACAAGTCTGAATTCTGGACAAGTATGAATTGTTTGACATACAGTTGCATTCATCTAAAGGCTGCAGCTATGATTGTATTTTACTTATATATATATATGTTCATTGTAAATAACAATCATAATATATACTTATCAAAAAAATAAAAATAAAATAACAATCATAATATATAGCAACCTTTTGTACATAGGATTCTGATCAGCAAAGAACTCAAAGTGGAAAGGGTTTTATTACAGGCGGTCCTATTGTTTGGGCTGAGGAGTTTGAGGATCTCGATGTTGACACGCTTATGCAGCCAGTGAACACTGATCCACCAAAGCCGGAGTCAGTACCTGAGGTCAGTCAAGCTGCTATAAAACAAGTCGTCTGCTTAGCCTCAGTTTTTAGAAATATCCAAATCATACTGTTTTCCATTTTTCAAAATATTTCTTCTGTTGTATTTTACTACTTTTCGAAGAATGAGTTCTTAATTTTTTAGGGTGTTTTGCAATTAAGTAAATCTTTATTATTTCCTTTTCACTTCTGGGTAAGACAAACATAAGTGTCCCAACGGGAATTGCGACCTCACATTCCCTTTGGGGAGTGGCAAGAAATGCCACTCAAGTTAATGAATTTAGTAATTTTTATTTTCACTTCTGGCGCTATTTATTCCTTAGCAAGAAACTAACATACCCATTTGTCCCTTTGGGGACTTTGAACCCCCACCTTTCACTTCGGGAGGTAGAGGAGATGTTACTAGGTTACTGCCTTTGGTACTTATGGTGTGACTCATAGTGAATTTCATTCTTCTTTTTTTTTTTTTTACTGATTTCGAACTGTTTGGGTAGGACCGGTAGGTATTTAATAGTTGACTTTCCTTGTATAGTTATTATATGTTGATCATGCAGTGCAGGCTATTTCTTTCCCATGAAACTTCTCTCTCTGTAAATAGTCAATTTATTAACACTTCTCATACCAATTGCCTATTCTTATGTTGGTTGTTCGCCCTGAAGGGTTGAACTTGGCGGTGAAGCTGCAAATTCTTTTCCCCTTTTTATTTGGGGGTTGGGGTTTGCAGGGTGAATCTTAAACATCATCTTAGCTAATGAATTTTAATAATAAAAATTAAATATAGATAGTGGGGATTAGATACAGAATATGAGGTGTGTTTTTGTACTTACAAGGGGTACATATTTTGTGCAGGTTCAGTCAGTGGATGGTTTCCTGCAGAAGTTGGGTCTTGAAAATTATTCAACGATGTTCGAATATGAGGACGTGCGTGAATTGTATAACTTTCCTTTGTTTATTGCAATTTTATGTACTGGCTTTGGTTTTACCATTACCATAAGAAATTCCTTCACTATTTTGATGCCTTGTACTTTTTTTGCAGATGGATATGGCCACTTTTGGACGCCTAACTGTTGATGATTTCGAGGATTTAGGATTACCAGAGGTGAACGCAACTAGGCTAACCCTACCATATGTAGCGTTTTAATTTTTTAATTTTTTTATAAATATTTTATGAGTACTATATTTAGTTTTTCTCTGTATACCATTGCACCTTTAGAAATAAGAATTTAGTGTAAAGTACCCTCAAGAGGTTTTTCAAAATTTTCTTCAGAAGAAACTAGTTGAAAGTTTGTGGTCAACCTCCGTTGAGGTTTTACAAAATTACCCTAACCACCCGTTGTCAATCAACTAGGTCATTTAAAGGGATAGATTTTAAGTTTCAAAAATACCTCTGTTGGTCCATAGTTGTTTGCACTTTTAATGTCAAATGTATGCTTCTAGGGCTGCTACTGAGATATTTCACCAATTCTGGTGTGCTCAGGTCATATCTGATACATACAGGGGTAGTATAGTCATTTTACAATCATGAGAACTCATTTAAAATAAGTTGAGGAAGGTATATTGTGTTGTGGAGTCACTTTACAGGCCAAATCTGCTTAAATTTCTGGTTCATCAATTGGTATGAGTGCTTTGGTCCTCTTATAGAGGTTTAACCAACCTACAGAGGATCTTGTGCAATGGATGAAGGTCAAGTTACCAACAAAGCTCTAGGATCTGATGGTTCCAATTATGATTCATGGAAGACAAGAATTGAGTCCTTCCTGATGTCATGATGTGTGGCATACTACAATAGCTAGAATTGTAGTTCTGAACCCTGACCATCCCTCGGCAAATGATAAGACAACTTTAGCCAATGATGGAAGGGCAAAGCATGCTCTCTTCTGTGTGCTCAAACAACACTGTAAAACAGCTAAGGAAATGTGGGACTCTCTCAAGGTTGCTCATGAGGGAAACAATGTGATCAAGGAGAACAAGATTCAGCTCCTCAAAGTTCAATATGAGAGCTGTAAAATGGATGAAAGGGAGGCTGTCTCAAATTACTTGTTCAGAATCAATGAAATTGTCAACAATATCAAGGCCCTTGGTGAAGATGTAAAGGATTATGATGTTTATAAGAAGATTCTCAGGTCCTTAATTCCCAGATTCAATGCCAAGGTCACAATTCTGGAGGGACAAAGACATGCTGCAGATGAAGATTGATGATCTACAGAGGTATCTCGATTGGTTTGTCGATTTGAAGCATGACAAGGACATACTACAGATGAAGATTGGTTTGAAAGGAGTGACTGATTTTGAGTCAATCTTGTGAGTTGAAATCTTTAGTTAGTTCATGAAGAACTTTCCACTGAATTCCTAAACTAAGGGAATCATGATCAATTGAAACAAAATAGTTTGGTTTTAGTTTAAACCAAATAACATTGTTGACTAAATTGGATTGAACACCTCCAATTAGAGCTTCAATTGGATTTTGAAGTCTGTTATCCATAACCAAGACTAGGATTGGTTGATCAGTTCCATTTCTGAAGAGGGGTTATTTTGATTTGAACCATTCCTATATGGATATACCGGGCTTCTAGATACTGAGATATCCATCTTGCAACTTTTTCTTTGCTAAAGATGTTGAAATCTGCCATACCATGATAAGTGTATTCTGCTCTGGTATTTTCACTAAATTGTTGAAATCTTTGTGTTTTTTTAAACACAAAGATCTTCTTCTTCAATCATTTTTATCATCTTGGTTGTTCCTTTGCCCTTTTTTGGGCAATTAGGTGCAATATGACCTTCTTCATTGCAAATATAGCATTTGCTACCTTTCCTTTTTGAAGGGTTTTTTGATTTTGAAGTATTTCTTTTTGATATACTTCTCTTTATTTTGAACTGGTTTTTTTCCAGGTTTTCATTTTTTCCATTTGAACCTTTTCTTACGAAATGATTTTCTTGGATAGGGTCGGTCAGTTCCGCATCCTATTTTCCAATTTTCTTTAAGAATCTTATCACAACATTTTTTACCATAAGCATTGTTGCTGATTCGATTCTCAACAATGCTTCTTGGCTTTGGCTTCTAAACATTTTTTGTTTATTAGTCAAAGAACGTTGTTGATTCTGAACCCAAGATTGTCAGTTTTGTTTATTCTGACAAGAAATTCTGGGTAGCCTTTTGTAGCTATTTCATCCCATGGACTTGGGAGTTTAACAAAGAATTGTCCTAACCAATGTTCTGTACTAGTAGGTGGTGGGTGAAAGAAGTATTTTTTAAATAACTTCACATAATCTTCAAATCGACAAATATCGCATAATTCTATTTTTGATTGGTTCGAAAAGAGTGACTAATTTTGAGTCAATCTTGTGAGTTGAAGTCTCAGGAACTTTAGTTAGTTCCTGAGAGATTTTAAGTTAATCTTGTGAGCAGAAGTGTATTCTGCCCTGGTATTTCCACTAAGTTGAAGTTTCAAGATTGATGATCTACAAGCCTTACTCACAGCTTATGAGATGAGAATTGGGGTTCCTAATCTACACAGAAGAGAAGCAGCTCTTAAGGCCAAGGAAGGGGTTGAAGAAACTGAACAAAAGTCTGATGATGATGATCTTGAAGAAGATGAAGTAACCTATCTAGCTAAGAAGTTCAGAAAATTTAGATTCAAGAAGAAAACATAGTCTCAGAACCAAACCTGCTATGTTTGTGGTAAAATAGGTCGCTATGTGGCTAATTGTCCCACAGCAAAGGTCAAAACCAAAAGAAGCCTGACTTATTCAACAACAGAGGAAGATTTGGAAGAAAAGCCTTGGTCTCTGGCTGGGATACAACTCTAGAAGAAGAAAAAACAGAAGAGAATCAAGAAGATGATTGCTTGTTCATGGCATTGCTTGAATCACCTGAAGCTTAGAAAGAAGAGGAAGAAAATGATACTGAGGTAGAAGGGATCCAGCTGTGAAATGTGATCAACAGAAGTCTTAAATCAAAAAGTTCAGTTATGAATTACAGAAATCCAAAGACTTACTCATTAAGCATGTCAAGGTGAAGCTTTGAACCTTGTATTCCATTTCTTTGACTGTATATTGTCTGTTGAAACTCAAGAATTAGGACAAAGTGTGGAGTTCTAAAAGGTGTAAGGTAGAATTATCTCAAGCCATTAAGGAGAGGTCACTAAAGATGACAAAAATCTGGAAGAATTCCACAAAACAAGTTGGCAAAATTGGTTATGGCTACAAGTGTGACACTACAGGGAAGGTGAATCAGACTCACTTAATCTTTGTGAAGTATATGCTAAGTTTCTCATTGTATGGTCAAGTAGGCCTAAATATGAGTTACTTGACAGAACTTACATAACTCTGAAGCTGAATAAAGGTGACTTTATTACCTCAGCCTATGTTACCTGGATTTGGGTACGGGTGTCGGACGCGAGCGTGTGTCTAAATGTCGGATCCATCCATCTATGAAATTATAGGACACGGGGACACGGAATAAAAGTATCCAAAAGTTGTACATGGACACTTGTAGGAAAAGAAAAAAATGTACCCTTTTTTTATGATAGACGTCAGTTTTTTAAATGAAAAATTGAATAAATATATAAATGTAAAGATAGCAGCGTGGATCCTTCCAAGCTCGGTTTTTCTGTGATGCAGTTTTTCTTTTTTTGCTCTGTTGTTGCACTTGCAACTGTTCTTAAACTTGTGGATGCAACTGTAATGTGCTGCTGTGTGGGCCAGTTTTTGTTTTGTTTTTATGGGCTACCTTTGGGCTAGGTCTTTCCTTGTACCGTTTCCTTTTTTGATGAGGTACTTGTGAAGGATTACGAACTTTCTTCATGTTTTATTTGTCAAGTAGGCTGCCATTAACGAGATCGGAAAACTTATTGGTACAACAATGGCGGTTTGGTTCAAAAGTAGGCTTTTAATACCCTTCAACGGTAATGATCATGCCATATGTCGATTTGGATGTAAAAATATTGGAGATTTTGGTCTTTTAACAAGGATAATGTTTTACAGCTGTAAAACACTATCTAAGGCTATGAACAATTTACAGCTGTATTATTTTATTTAAGTATTATATATCAGTCAATCTTGAACTTTTTTTGAGTTTTCATCATCCATCTGTCGTGTCCAGTAGACACCATGAAGGATCCGACTCGGATCTAGTGTCAGTGTCCATATCATGTCACGTCGAAACGGACACTTCGGCCTGAACAGGCGAGTCTAGGTAACATAGACCTCAACCATGAGAAATGCAAGGCTCACACCAATCTATGTGAAGTAATTTGACCTACTTCAGTCTCAAATGGCCAAGGACAAAGGGTCTTTTATCAAGACCAAGATGATGTGGATCCCTAAGAAGTTAAATTCAGTGAGTATGCTTGTTTATACAACTTTCAAAGCCTGCAATGCTAAAGACGGATGGTATGTTGACAGTGGTTGTTCAAAGGACATGACAGGAGACACCTCAAAGTTCCTTTTATTGAAGAAGTTTTATGGAGGTAATGTGGTGTTTGGAGACGATCAAAAGGCAAAAATTATTGTTATTGGCACTATATCTAAGTCTGAGGAACTACCAGAAATCACTGAAGTGTTGTATGTTAAAGGACAAACACAATCTTCTCAGTGTGAGTCAACTGTGTGATTCAGGTAACAGGGTCTGTTTTGATAAAGACTAGTGCATAGTAATAGACCAAAAATCAGAAAAGATCCTCTTCTCAGCTACTAGGTCCTTAGGGAATGTTTATACCATCTCTGAAGAAGTTACTCCAGCTCAATGCAACTTTTAAGCTGTTGATGAAAGTATTATGTGGCACAAGAGGCTTGGACAAGTTTACCCCAAGAATATTTCAAAGATTCTGAGGTTCTAGGCAGTTTAAGGCTTACCAGAATTGAAGTTTAAGGAGGATCACACCTGCAGAGCTTGTCAACAACGGAAACACGCCAGAGTTTCATTCCCAAGAAAAGAAGTAAACACCTCCAAGGCACTTGATTAGCAGATTCTTAACACAAGCAAGTCGTAGGGGGTTAGTCCATTCGTCTGGTCTGGATTCTGCATCAATAAAGGGTTGTTTTTCTTAATTCATCTCTGAGATGTCTAATCTGGTGCAGACGTTGAACTGACTTATGAAG